CTGTCAACTTAGAGTAGTGCCTAAAGATTACTTCGTGCGGCTATAAACGACCGTTAAATGGAATGATGAATTTTTGAAGGATTTTGAAAACGGAAAAAATGATAGTCATGCCGGCCCAGCATCGTTAACGTTGAAAAATGCCCCGGCACGAAGTGGTTAAAACCCGCTACCATATTAGGCTTGGGCGGTATTGCCTTTTTCGATACCGCGGTATTCATGGAAAAAAATATGGCGGTATGTACTAATACCGCGGTATTCGTTGCAGAAGGCAATGACGTCATCAAAAAGCAGTGGCGATGCTGGCATTCAAAGGCAAACCACAAACAACACTAGGGGCCAGCATAAAAAATGACACAAACTATCATAATTTGTCTGTCCATTTGATGTCAAATAAAAATTATTTTTTAAAAAAGGGACGGCGTTTTAAATACTGATTTGTTGCTCCGCGATTCCTATATCTGTGTGGTCACTCGTACATGTTTTATTCCTCCATGCTCGTATGGTGTCAAAATCTGCACATGTGCTGCAGTCAAGTTGGTACTCGCTGAGACAGTGCGTTACATGCGGGCCACCAGTGGCTGCTCCTTTTAGCTGCGCGTGTGCAATGGTAAGGTGGCTTTCAGAAAACTCTGTGACGCAGCAGTCGACTCTTATTACAAAATCGGTTGTAACAAAATTCCGATTACAACAAGCACAAGTCTGTGGTCCCGGTGAAAACGTGCATATTTCTATGGGGAAAAAAGATGTTACAGCTAAATAGCATTGTACGAAATTCCTGGTACAACGAAAGGTTTTCGTGACTCTGTTGCCTGAAAAACCATTCTTGACGACGCATTCATAAAGCGTTTGCGAATCGCGGTATTGAAAACATGTGTGCGGTGCACCACACTGGTTCCCGCCGGGCCGAACCGTTGCCAATGAAGGCATGATGGAAATGCAGCAAGCAGTCAATGTACAGATTCTGCCTAAAAAGGGTCGTACGTTCCACTACATCGAATGCAGCTCTATAGTTGCAAATTGAAAAACACTACCGTCACAAATTTTTCTGCAGGTTCATTCACAAAAAGTGATCTCATGTCTATGTCTGTGTTTTCTGTGTTCATGAATTTAATTTGCAGTTGTGCTGCTTGTACTCAAGCGAGCGTGCTTCCACAAAATTTCCAGTCATGCAACACTAGGTTTATCGCACGCTTACAATGCGATATACAGACATTGGTTGCCAGATTCCTGTCGTCATGACACGCATAGTGCACGATTAAAAAATTCATGATATTTTACATTGATTACACAAATGCAAAAACAAAAATTCCTATCCCATTTCCGATAAAATATGCCCCAAATAAGTTCGCATGACTATTCTCGTATCTCAAGAGTCCAACTAATCACCCAACACTGAATTATTCATATTGCTGCAAAGAGATCTGGCGTGCCCACCAATGAGACTGTGCGCTTTCATGACGTACATGTACATTTGGCAAGACACAGCTATCCAATCGCAGTACTCGTTCATGACATTATGCTGACAGCGCCGCAGTGGTCGAGTGATCTCGGACTACCAATCAATCATGTCATGCAGCTTGTGTCAAAAATCAAAAGAGAGGCGAAAAATTAAACAAAAAAGTCTCTCCGTGACACAATTTGTGTTGGAAAGACTACTTACATGGATTGGGGCTTTAGTGGATGAGCTTTCACATACTTGCAGGTACATCCAGGCCTACATGTGCATGCAGGTTAGTTACTGTTGGCTTCGTCGTCATCCATGGCGATTGAAAGTTTTTTTAAAAATCCCAGGATCGATGCTTTCACATGTATTTGCTTTTTAAAATTTCACATGCACATTAAACATGTTGTCCTATGACAGCGAAGTTTATTATTCTAAACATATCACAAGGTATTTGATTAATCATAACCGAGACATCTTTTTGATCAACCACGTTGTCCTAATTTTATATTCCGGAAAAACTGAAATACAAGCAGTGACAAGTGAGGAATCAGGTTTTTGCTTCTCTTTTCTTTGTGGTTGGAACAAATGTGAGAACAATAAAAAAAAAGATCATTGATTGCCTTGGATGTCGAACAGATGCAGATTTATGGAATCATTTTATAGTTTATAACACATATTCCTGGCTTCAGTGGAGAGATTTTCACACAATACTTGTACATGTTGTATACAAAGGACAAAAAGACCCAAAGTGAGCACAAGGCTAGCACAAGCAACATTCGCATTTTCCGATCCGCCAATAAAAATCTTTGGAAAATAAAGTCCAGTGCGGACACTGAAGACCAGCTGATTTTTAATTCCCAACCTTTAGGCCTGTGATACATGTACATGTATACATGTGCCTTTTGACAGGCAGGTTGATGGCTGCATGCTGAAATACCACGTTATGTCTTATCTCTTCACCAAAAGACAAAATACAAACGTGATGCTGGATGACTGAAACCACAAAGTATGCAGTCACTGTTGTGGATATAATTGTCTGCTTTCAACTTATGAGGGTTGTGGGAACATTCTGAACAAATT